ACAACGCCATCATCGTAAGCATCCGTAAAGAAATGTGAAACCGGGTTATTCATGTCATTTGGAAAGACACATTACTACTACCCAACTCAGCCATGCATGATGTTGGCTACACTTGAGTTCATGTTCATAAATGTGTATAAGTTTGTGTGTGTTTGAAAATGCTTATGCTTACTTGTATGTGCATATGTTGTGCCTGTTAATGAGCATGTTCATGTGTGCATGTGCTGTTCTATATGTACACACGTGTGCGTGCAGACGCATGTTTGTGCATCGATTAGGTCGTGTTAATCGCGAAGGGAGAGTGCATTTGTAATTGCAAAATGGAACAGTTTGTGCACACATGCAGTCACTTCCAGAGTGCCTGGCGTGAAAAGGAGTTTTCGGAAGGCCTCATCACGACCAAGACTGGATCGTGTGGAATGCGTCTGCTGGTCGATTGGCCTGTCTGACTCGATGACCTCTGAGTGGGTTGTCCGGCTCCAACGAAGCAGTAGCCAAGGCTGTGTTTGGTTGGCACATCGTGAACCCCAAGTACACGCGATCGTGGTCAAGGCTGAACCGGCGGTGTCCATGTGCTCCAGCGACCGAATCGATGTCGTCAGGCCGTGGTTGCAATTAGCATCGTTCGTGCCTCCGGCAGAAGATCGTGGTTGTAGTCAATTGTTTTTATTAAAAAATGACTCGTTTCGAGAACTGTCACTGGAGTCTTGCCACAACAGAAACGAATTTCACATTCAGCATCACCAACCCCAACCGGACATGAATCCGGCTGATTGAGCGTTTATTTTAGACAAATAAAATGTTTTCAAAGCAAGCCAACAGTGGGACTAGTTTGGGTTAGACAAAAATGTATTTTTCCACTACACTAAACTGCACTACTTATATGCATACTGAGTAGGTGTCAATGTTATTGGCACATCTGAAAGGTGTGAAGGACCTATGGCCCAATGACACTCTTGGCAGTGTGGCATAGTGGTTGACAAATAAAAAATATTTGTTGAGTTCGCTTTCATTTCGAGTGAAAGTGTATTTAATAAAGAGCTTCCAAAGTTGATCCTACTAGAACATTCCTTCGTCGTTGTACGTTGGGATCAACCTTAAAATCCCTTCATCACACACTCTAATTCTAATTGGAAATTCACTAAGAAATTGTAAAGCAAAAGTCTTCTCGAAACCCATGCCAACAATACACAATGCTCGACTTACAAACC